ATGTCCAGCTGGTGGGCCTATTTGGGAGAAAGTCCAGGGCTGTTTTTTAGTCCCAGTCCGCCCCTGAACTCAAGGCTTAACATTTTATTAAATTTACCGCGGATCTTTTCTGTGTTCTCCAGTTTGAAAGGTGTTGATTAATTTTAGTCATACTTTGCAGTCGTATTTAATCTGTTTAAAGTAAATAGTTTGATCTTAATAATCGGCAAACAATAAGTCAAATTCTACCCACAGTGCAGCTGAATAACAGGAGGTGGTGTGTGTATACACACACACACACATATATATATTCAATTTTCAATTTAATTTATTTTTATATAGTGCCTTTCACAAGAGTGAAAAAAAATTAATATATATATGTGTGTGTGTGTGTGTGTGTGTGTGTATACATACAGGAGGGGCTGCGATGGCAATGAAGTGTGAATGATGCTGTTGCCAGTGGGAGAAACATTGTGGGGTATTTTAAACATTCGCCATTTGCGTGTCCTCACTTGGAAGATGTTCAAACTGAACTGCAAATGCCTCAAATATGTTTAAAACAAGGTGTATAAGCAAGGTGGTACAGAACGTTATGTATGTTACCAGTAGCCCAATTAAAGCTTTTTGGTATACATTTTTTTCATTTGTATTTGCTAGTTAAAAAAAAATATATATATATAAAGTATATATAATATATAATAATATATAAAGCATATATAGTATATACACATTTATTATATTAAAATGTTCCAGTAAAAAGAGCTGTTGTACTGGAATCGGTATCGGCAGTTCGTATTAAATCAGGGAACCGAAATCGAATCAGAACTGAAATAATGTGGCACGGTGGTGCAGTGGTTGGTGCTGTGTGCAGCACCCACCTCGATCATCTGCATTCACTGACAAATGTAGTATGACCAGAAGCTTCCGCGCACGACCGTCCGCAGCCCCAAAGCACAAGTATGAATTAGCCCTGGGTTCCTGTGCAGTATAGATAAGTATTCTGGTGTGGGGACCAGACATGAGACGCGGAATAATGACTCAGGCACAGTAAGTACGGGACAGGACAGTAATGGCGTTCACTGATGTACGCAGGTCACTCTAACAGCACACACACTGCCCAACGTGCTGGTCGCCCCGACTACTCACGCGCAGTTATTTACAGCGATTAATGTTTAACACTGCATATGACATTAACGTACAGCACAACTATACAGCTACTGTATTTACATTATTCACATTTAGCATCAGTCCGACATGCCACCGCACTACATGATGGGAATCTCCCAGCGCTACACTATGCAGTTTGATTTTGGTGTCTGGATAGGTTTATAAAAAGGATAGATAGTATGGAAATATTACACTGTTCACAAGCTAATGCAACAAATTGTAACAAAATCTGAATTATTCATTTTTTTGATTAAATCACTAATGGTGATTTCATGATTAGCAAATCCCCCCATAATTAATAATATTTAAGATGTTTATACATATATTTCTAAAAAAGTGTGGCACTGAAATTATGCACTAAACCGCTTTACTATGTGTAATACTACACATGGAACATAACAGAATGGAGACCGTATATCAGTTTGATGTAAAAGTGCTGAGTACTTGGTATTCTGTATTTATCTATGTATCTACTTACCCTTCATGTTCACAGAGGCCCCAGCAGGAATCATCTGGTCTGGATCAGCACTAAAATGGGAAAGAAGAGAGGAAAAAGAAGAGCTGCTTCTGAAATGCGCCCCCCTGTGGCGTGTAAGAGGAAGAGCACTGAGAGGTAACAGTGTTACAGCCACTAGCATGCATGTCTCTCTGGGTCTATAGTCAGGCCATAACATAAAGTAAACTGGGCTCCTAGCTAGGGCTGGCTGAGTGGGCAGCACTGTAATATGTGTAGCTTAATAAAAAGACCTCGACATCTTCTTTATGCGCCTTTATCTTACACAATCAGCCAGTTATTTTATACTAGAGGCAAGCAACAGATCATCACTCCTGTACAAAATGGCCACATAACAAAAAATAAACAAGCAAACAATGATATAAAGAGGAAAAACACTACCAAAGACATGTCTAATAATGTAGCTTTTAACAATGATACTAAACCTTTCCTACAATAATTTATATTATAGGTCAGGCAATTTATTTCACATTATTAACTACCCTCCTACCTGCCTGACCTTGGCTCATGCGATGCCTCTCCTTACTTCCCTGCTGCTGTGCCACTGTTGATCTTGTCATCATGCATCAAGCACCCCGTGCCTGCACCGGTCGGCCGCTGCATTGAGACTGAAATTTCAACCCCTGTATTAGCTTAATTAAATCATCTTGTTTTGTTTGACTCGTCTGCCGGCCCCTGGAGGATGGGCTCCCCCTTTGGGTGTGGTTCCTCCCAAGGTTTCTTCCTCTTAGGGAGTTTTTCCTTGCCACCATTGCCTTTGGCTTTCTCACTGGGGGGTCTTTACGTGGCAGAAATGTAAAGCGCATTGAGACAATGTAATGTTGTNGTTCTAGGTAGCTTTTATTAATGTTTTACATTATGTATCTTACATTTCCATTCATTACTATGGGGAAAAATCTAACCAGCATAACGACCTTAACCGGTATATGAGTATGTGTGTGTGTATGTGCATGTGTACACCAACTGGGCACTGTGCGTGTGTGAGTGTGTGTGTGTGTGTGTGTGTGTGTGTGTGCATGCGTGGTCTGACATCTCAAATCAATCAATTACTCAATTAATCAATCAATCAATTACTTGATTAAAAAAGACAAATAAACAAGTAAACAGTATATTGAACTGTTGAAACACTTCACCGTGAAATATAGGTAATGATTAAAAAAAAAAATTGCATTAGTGAGCAGGGGTTCTAGGTAGCTTTTATTGATGTTTTACATTATGTATCTTACATTTGCAATGAGGACATTGTGGAGGACACTTTGCTTGAAATAACATGCATTATAAAGCTACTTTTCATGCATATTTATGCCTATAATGTCCTGGGGACAGAAATGGCACGGATTTGGCAAATGCCCCGAAACGGCTTGTCCATGAGAATCCTGTGGCTGCGGTAACGTTAGCTGTATGTTCGATATTCAGTCTTCCGGCTGTAGTATCATTCAGCATGTAAGCCCCTTTTAATCACAGGCTTGTCATGTCCGTGGGCAGAGATGCACACGGATCATTTTTCGTTTCGAGCCTTTTGCTGTCTGTGCCAAGTCTTGGTATTATCTAAGAAAAGAGGCGATCTCTGCTGTAACAAGACATCGGTTCAGAAATTGGAGTCTATGGTGACTCTTGCGCACCGTTTGGTTTTCCTTATTACTTCGTGGGTGAATATTAATTAATAGCTGAATGTTCGCATGTACACTTCACGTTCAATAGCTGGTGGTGACTGGACACAGTGCGGTTATTAATAAAGATGAATAAAAATTTGAAATCATGTGCAATGTCATGATATGAAAATCAAGAGGTGTGAATTGTGCCCCATAGATCATTGCTTAAACCAGACTTTACTGAACATGTCTATATCTCATTAATTAGGTTTAACAGTTAGTCGATGTAGGAGCCATATGTAAGTTTATATTTGTAACCTTACGGTAGGTAATCCTTTTGTATTTTGTACGAGTGCGCCCTCTACAGGCGGTGAGGGTGCTGCCCTGAAATGGAGATGACGTCACACATGGCAGGGAGGAAGCGGGCCGGCAAGATACTGTCATTGGTCTCAGCTCTCGGCGTGGTCTATTCGCTGTCCCAGGGAAGCGTCTGAAATTAAAAGGCACCAACGACGCTGCTGTTAGATTTTGTAATATGTTTTTTGCAATAAATTAAGCAGCGAACAGAAACTCGTGGATCCTTTTCTAAGGGGCTAAAGGCTGCGAGTTAGACAAATGGTACCCGCACTCCCCAGGTGGTAAATCAAAAGTGAGGGTTAAAGGAAGGAAAAACGAAGCTTTTTGTCACTTCAGTCGATATACAAAGTCCATTTACAAAATAAAATAGACTGATCATATAATACTGAGATTGGAAGAAAAATTTTCAATAGTAAATAGACCTACGTAAATATTGTATAGATTGTAAAACTAAATAATTTGAACTAAGATTAATTAATCCCCTGTTGCTTTTAAAAGTAGTTTAATACGGAATTGTAAACGAAACATGTAAAATACTTGACTGCTAAACACTAACGATAATGTCCGAAAAAGATTCAATTGAACGATTTAATAAAAGCCGAGTTTTGCGCAAAAATCACTTTTCACCAGCTTTTTGTTATTGTTCATTATGAGCTCTGACCAGAAATTCATTTCTCGAGTTTGATAAGATATCCCTGCATGATGCCTTGAGTCCAGAGGATACGGGTACAAGGCGAGGACCAACCCAGGATAGGGTGCCGACCCATGGCAGGGCACAGTCACACATCATGCATTCACACCAGTAGGTAACTCCAATTAGCTTCGGCGTGTTTTTGGACTGTGTGGAAACTGGAGTACCCAGAGGAAACCTCACGACGACCCCGAGAGAACATATGAACTCCACGTACAAGGACCCCGGTGGAGACTCGAACCCTGGTCCTAACCACTAACCACTGCACCACCGGCCCGGCCCTAAACCTAACTTTTAAAATACATTTTAGTTTATTTTGTTTTGCTTTAAGGTGGTATCCCAACATGCCGACTAATGAACATACTGCATCTTAAAGATTGTGATCATTAATGCAATTATAACTAAAAAAAAAAAAAACGAACGCAGATATAATGCGACTTATTTTTTTTGAAAAATGACTGAAAAAATCCGTAGCACCCAGACTTTATATAGGGAGGTGAGATCAACATATTTCGTTCTGAGTGCTTTCCAGTGCGGCTAATTTACAGTATTATACTTGTTATAAATTGCCCCCCTTCCCACTAGATGGCGAAATTATGCTTGTTATATCCGCGCCACACAGCCAATCGGCAGAAGAAGAAGAAGATCTCGTCTGTCAACGATACCAACGCGAGAATGGAAGAGACCATTATTACATATATCCGATAGCTAAAAGACACATTTGGGTTTATATAGTTTTTAAGCTTAGTCTTACACACCGTATTTGTTGTTACCTACTGCTAGCTAAAAATGCTGCTTTGATATGTAAAGAAATACAGAGGAGAAGCAGCTTCTGGTGTATTTTGTATTTATGCGTTTGGTACGTGGTCTCGCCTCCCCTCCCAAAGACTGTTCCAGAAGTCACGGCGCGTGGCCCCATGCTACATGGTGCCGTGTCTTTGTGAGACTTCTATATCTCAATACCTTAGCAGTGTCACGGATACCAGTATCTGACGCCTGAAATGTCTACTTTGGGAACCCTCGCCTTCGATGAATATGGGCGTCCATTCATCATTATCAAGGACCAGGATAAAAAATCCCGCCTGACGGGCCTGGACGCTCTGAAGGTACCGCGCCGGTTAGCCGGCTCGCTTAGCAATGCTTGCTTATGTCTCTTTAGCATCATTTGCTGAAGATACTTCAGCTGACTATAGTGCATAGTAATCTATTAAAATGGGCCCGTTAATCCTTTTTGTGCGTTTTTCCTATAAACGAAGGCTATTCGGCAATTTTGCGCTATAATGTTTAAGGGGGTCCTGTTAAGATACACAAAGGAAAGTCAGGCATGCTGTAGGAGTAGATGGGCATTAACGATGATGCATCAACAGTGTTTTTCCTGGACTTCAGCTGCATATATTCACATAGCGGTGTAATTATGCAGCGGGGCACGGCCGTTTAGCGGTTTGCCATCCATCCACAAGCGCATGGCGGTCCGTGTGTCTGACCGGCGAGCCGAGCATGACTTGCTGTTACTTTAACAAGCGAGTTTAGTCTGTAGCCGTTTCATGTTGGATGCATTTATCTGTGACCGGTATCACAGTGAATGCGCATATTTAGAACTGTTCCGTATGTTGGGCTGGCGTTTCAATAAGCATGAAGTTCAACGATAATTATTCAAATGAATAAAATTAATCCTCGTGTCATAACCCAGAAGCCACCGAGGTTTGCGATCTGTCTTATGTAAAAAGCTGTATGTAGTCTGCTTTTTGTTAATTATGTTCCTATATTTGCACTTTTTAGTCTCACATCATGGCGGCGAAGGCGGTGGCAAATACGCTGAAAACTTCTTTGGGTCCCAACGGTAAGTGTCTCCTGGCCTCTGCACGTGCCCTCCGTTTCCTGGCCTCTGCACGTGCCCTCCGTTTCCTGGCCTCTGCAGGTGACTGCTAACCCCACGTTGTGCTTCCCAAGGTCTCGACAAGATGATGGTAGACAAGGATGGCGAGGTGACGATCACCAATGATGGGGCCACCATCCTCAGCATGATGGACGTGGATCACCAGATCGCCAAGCTGATGGTGGAGCTGTCCAAGTCACAGGATGATGAAATTGGAGATGGAACCACCGGTGTAGTGGGTAAGGGACTGAGACTGGGGGGACTGGTGTGGGAACTTAAACTCATATGAAAGTAACTAAGCAATCAGTTACTTTATTGACTGGATCATTTTGTTCTGAATCTGAAAAATGGTTACATCCATTGACTAGAATTTGTAAGATTTTTCATATTTCATTAGTATTTTTAGTTATGTATCATCTACATAAAATTAATCGTATTTAGTATCTAAGGATGCTAGTGACCAGAAATGGCCAATTTTTTGCCCTGATTGGCCCTCGCTGGCAGTCGGTTGGTCAGTCTAAATATGACCTGTTTTATGAGCCTGTCATGCTGTTTACCAGCTAATGTCGCTATTTGCCCCAATCCGCTTCCCTCTATAGTCGTGTCCCCCACTCCTCACCTTCTCCCCCCCCCCACTAATGTTGCCTGATAGGTGAGGTAATACACGTATGGGAAACTTGTCTGCTGTTTGGAGATTTAGTACCATCTGAAACAGACGTTAAATACAGTGCAGGTGGCGTATGAACAAGAATTTGACCGTAGAGGAACCACCACAAAATATTTGGAACAACTAATTTAATTCAACACTTGCGGAGCCATTTATATTTGAAAAGTTATTTTTTTAAATACATTGCTTGAAGAAAGCTACGTTGATTAAAGAAGTGTTGAAAAATAATAGTTTGCTAGTTATTAACCTAAGAACTGGAATCGGTGAGGATCAGTATCAGCAAGGCAGGCTTTTAAAATAATCAGGATCGATCAAGGAAGATGCGATCGGTGCATCGCTGTTAGTATATAATGTTTGGAATAAGCGACGTTCAGGCATGAAAGGAGGTGAAATCGCTTGCCACTGAAATTCTGACACCCGGTGCCCCATGTCAGTCTGCTTTAGTCAGCCTTGTGACTCGCTGCCCCTCTCTGCTCAGTACTTGCCGGCGCCCTTCTGGAGCAAGCTGAGCAGCTGCTAGACCGAGGGATCCACCCGATCCGCATCGCCGACGGCTACGACCAGGCAGCCCGCATCGCCATCAGGCAGCTGGATAAGATCGGCGACAGCTTCCTTGTGGACCCCAATAACACAGAGCCCCTCATCCAGACAGCCATGACAACCCTCGGCTCCAAAGTGTAAAGCTCCATCGTTTTACCTCTTCTGGGAGAAGCTCACTGCGGACCTCCACCTCTTTCTAACTTTCTCACTCTGCTGTCCCTCAGGATCAATCGCTGCCACAGGCAGATGGCCGAAATTGCCGTCAACGCCATTCTGACCGTGGCGGACATGGAAAGGAAGGATGTCGACTTCGAGCTCATCAAGATGGAGGGCAAAGTGGGCGGGAAGCTGGAGGATACGCAGCTAATCAAGGGCGTCATTGTGGACAAGGAGTTCAGCCACCCCCAGATGCCCAAGGTAGGGCTCCACCTCCAATGGGAGGGGCGTGTGACCTGAAATGGGAGGGGCGTGTGACCTGAAATGGGAGGGGCATGTGACGAGGCGCAATTCAGGGACGCGTGATTATGTCGGTATGACACCAGTATCGGCCAATAAAAGCTTATCAAGTTCTTTATCGGCATCAGGTGATATGAAAATTTCTACCAATGAGCCTGGCTGATAAGGTGACTTAACTACAGGCACACAACACTGGGCACACAACACACTCATTTAACACTATCGATTAAATTACGCATCTTAAGAGTCGTCATCCTGAAAAGCATGAAGACTTTCTGAAAATACAGCGCCTGTCAAAACCTGTCAGCAGCCCGTCAGTCGTATCTGACAAAGCTAGGAAATATATTAGCCAAGTGTGTGTATATCTGTCGGGTAGAATTAGTTTGAAAATATCAACATGTTGGATTTTTTTGCTAGTATTCAATATCTTGCATCCCTGGTGTAATTTTGTTATTGTAATGCTTTGTACCGTTTATTTTAGGTTTTGAAGGACGTGAAAATCGCCATCCTCACCTGCCCGTTCGAGCCGCCCAAACCCAAGACGAAGCACAAGCTGGACGTGACGTCCGTGGAGGACTACAGAGCCCTGCAGAAGTACGAGAAGGAGAAATTCGAAGAAATGATCCGGCAGGTTGGTACGGATTTGCGTTTGCGTCGTGTCCTTCCAGAGGCACGACCCCCTTAGTTGGGGTTTTACCTCTGGGTTGGGGTTGGAGGTGGGGGGGGGGGGTCTTTCCAGAGCTGATGTCAGTGTCTTGATTCGGCGC